GCAGCTCCTGCAATCTCCACGCCCTGCCCCCACGCCCATCTGCCGGAGACCCCAGCCACTTCCTGAGACTTAGAGACCGGCCCCCAGCTCCCATCCTGCCCCTGACTTCCCTTCTGGACCAGAGAGGGCTCCCATCTTGCGATGGACTTCCCTTCTGGACAAGAGCGCAAATCCTACCCTGGACTTCTTGTCTGGACAAAAGCTCCCATCCTGCCCCAGACTTCCGGTCCAGATAAGAGCTTCCATCCTGCCCTGGAGTTCCCATTTGAACAAGCGAGTTCCCATCTGGACAAGAGAGACTTCCTGAATCTGTCAGCTCTTTCTGAACCAAGTACGCTGCTAAGACCAAGAACGAACCACAAGGAGATGGGCAGACGTCAAGGCAGAAATACATACAACAAAATGAAGAGCAATACAGCATCACTAGAACCTAGCCCGCCTCCAACATCTAGACCTGAACATCAAAACTTGAAAGAAACATTAATTTTTAAAGCATCATGTTACTTTATTGTAGAAGTAACTATATTTTCAAATGCATATTGTGTGCATGGTGGGTCAACCTGCTAGGCAGCTCTAGACATTAGAATCACCCAAGAATAAAGGGAAAAAAATAAAAATTAACTTAGTTTAAAGAAGAAATCTCCTTCATGTTGAGTACATGCTGATACAGCAGCCTGGCTTGTGGAGCAACAGAAAGCAGATACTGATGTGTCTCCAGGCTGCATAGGTTCCCTTTGCTTGGGTTGTACCATCAGCTTCTCATCACAGTTAGGAAGACACAAGATGAGAAATGCATATATTTTCCTTACACAAGTATTAATGCAAAATGACTTAAATCCTTTGAACATAATGAAATGTTTTACAACCAGCCCCAGAAAATATAGTCTTTATTTCATTTGATAATAAACTCTACTATAAAGGGGGACACATGAGTATTAAGGACAGCTCAGTTGAGCTATTGAGGTCAACTCCACAGCAGCAACAACCCTTTACTGTAACTCCAAAGAAGTGATCTGCCTTTGAATAGAAAAGAAAGTACATATACAAAGAATGCCCTGTGTGGACTGGTAGTACAGCATCAGGAATTTTAGCCTCCACCTCAGAGTCAACCTGGAAAATTAAGACAAAGACCCGGGGGGCAGGGAGAACCAGAGAAGAAATTACAGATGGAAACTCAGTAAAGACAAGACAAGAATTAAAAGATATAAAGCAAACAGTTCAGAAAAGGCTCATATAATTGAGCTCCTGGAACCAGTCAAGTACTAAGGACATGGAAATACATGGGATTTTTGTAGGTATCTTTATTGATTTTATTTAAGAAATATAAAATATTTGGAGAACTACATGTCAACAAATTTTATATATTAAATAGACTAGTTTCTACTGTGTGTAACATGGGCTCGATCATACCAGAAGTGGAAAAATACAGCATATGTCTTATAATTATCCCAGTGAGGAATTTAAAAGCTGTGTACAGTATTTCACTTAGTCATTTCCTGATTTGTTCACTGGATTGATTTGCTTTGACATTAACTGACTGACACTTATTATGAACTAAGATGAAGGCACAGAAAAG